CCGCTTCCGGGAGATTCTAAGAAGCAGTGCCCAGGGTCGTCGCCCGCAGTTTGGCGGCGCGCACAAGGAGGTAGAGGAAGGGGGGAGGGCTTCTTAGAAGGAGGCTCCTTCTTGGAAGGCGCCGGCTTTACATCCACAGATAAGGCCCGCGCCTTCTTAGAAGCAGGGGTGCCTCTAAGAAGCCCTCCCCCCTCCCCCCACCCCCCTGTGCGCGTGGCTGAGCAGTCGCACGCGTGCGGCGCCGCGGCGGTGAGACCCTGCAGGGGTCCGGATACGATGGCGACGATGCTGCCGATGACGAGCGCAGCAGCGACGAATGCGAGGATCAGAGGCAGGCGGCGAGCCACGCTGCCCCCGAGAGCGGCGCCCTCGCCTGAGCGCCAGTCAGTCCCTGGGCAGGAGCGCACAAAGCCCATGGGGGAAAGAAGGGTGAGGATCGTAAAACAACGCAAGATCAATCATGAAGGTAATAATAATTCTAGTAATGCGAATGCTCAGACCCATAACAATACTAAAATACAATAGCAACACGAAAGCTAAGAATAAAAATACGCATAATACTAATAATAACAAAACGATTAATAATGATACAACAAATGATGATACTAGTAGTAATGAGAAAAAGAAGAATATGAATCATCAAAATAATACTAATAACAAGAACAATACTAAAAACAACAATAATAATAATAACAACAACAACACGAATAAGAATAACATGAATAAAACGAATCATACTAATAAATCAATAACAATAACAATAATACTAACAATAATAATAATGATAATACTAGCAATAATAATGATACAACGAATAATAACAATACTAATACTAATAAACGGCAAAATTGCACAAGTCCACTGGGCGGTGGCGCGGTTTGGAGCGCTTCCTCCCCCACACCTCCTTCCTCCCCTTCGGGGACCTGCCTCTCCCCGCGGGGTCTCGACGGGGGGGGGGGGGGCGCGAGCTGCCCGAGCGTCTGAGACGGCCCAGGTTGGCCCCGAGAGGGCCTCGGAGGCCCCAAAGACGGCCTCCAAAAAGGCACCCGATAGTTCGAGGTGGCTCAGGCCGCCCTCCATCGCGCTTCCAAGAAGCCCCAAGGAAAGCCACGGCGCAACCCCGAGTGCTCTCGCAGAGTCCCCGGCGACCTTGCCAAGAGGCCCACGTCCATCAAGATCCGAATGTCTGTGGATGCGGTTGCTCGCGGCCCCGCCCCGTCGCTGTGGGCGGGCTTGCAGGGCCCCGAGGCTGCCCCAGGATGGCGCAGGAAAGCCCGAGAGAGGGGCCCGAGGCAGTTCCGAGACGGCCCCGAGAGCGCCCAACATCGCCTCAAGGGAGCCCGAAGAAGCGATCTGGATGGACCCCAGAGGAGGGGCGCACATTGGGAGCCCACCGCCCTCTGATCGACGATTTACAGTGTGGCCCCGAGGCCCCCCAGGGCCTCCACGGGGCCGCAAGAGGGCCCCAAGAGGGCCCCAAGCGAACCCCAAGGGAGCCCGAGGACAGCCCGAAAGAACCCCAATGCGCCCCGCGAGGGTTGCGAGAAAGCCCCGACTAGATCCTCAGGCCATATCCGTCGTCCTCTTCTTCGTCCTCGCCCTGCCTCCATTTTCTATGTTTCCTCCTCGGGGCCGCGCCCCCGCTCCGCGCGCGAGGACTGGCGCCCCCGCGCCGCCCGGCGGGGTAAAAATCACCCAGCGCCGTTGTTCCGCACTGCGCCGCGCTACCCCCTGCAGGCTCACGAGCGGGAGGCCCTCGACGGGCCCAGCCGGACCCGCAGTTTTTCCGGACTGCGCTGCGGCATCCCCTGCAAACCCACGAGCGGGAAACACACTCGACGGGCCCCGCCGGGCGCAATCGAAACCCGCGGAACTCGACGGGAATGTTTTTGTTGATCTAGTGGCGCCACGAAGGAAAAACCCGACGGCCTGCGCCGCCGGCGACGGACCCAGCGAGCGCGATGGAACGCGCGACGATGGCGAGCTAGACGCAGCGGCTTCGCCCCAGCCGCAGCGCCCTCCCAGGTGCACCTCGCCCCCGAGATGGCCAGGCCTGCCCGAAGGAAACCAACTGCCCGCCTGCAGCTGCCCAAAGTGGCGGCTTCCTGCCTGCGCCCCGGCGGCTGTCTTCCGCTCCTTGAGCAACGGCATCAGAGAGTTCTTCTGTGCCTCTCCGTCGACCACCTCGTGCTCCTCCCCCGCCGCCGCGGCCTCTTGCGCGGGCGTCGGCTGCCTCGGCGCCTGCGCGACCATCGCGGATGGCGCAGCCGCCGCGCCGCTCGAAAACGACGCGGACGACGCCCCGTTCGGCTTGCCTTTGCTGGCCGCCTTTGGCTCGTCAGCCACGTTGGTCTTCGCGGGAAAGCGATCTCGCTCGGTTTGGGCAATGCGGCCCAAAATCTTGTGCACGTCGAGCTTCTGGTCGGGGGCCAATATCCGCTAAGACGTGCTCAAACACTTCATCAGGTCCGCCTTCCCTTCGCCCTTCTTCGCGCCGTGCACAGCACTTCTGCGCCAGCGCGAGCAGAACACTTCGGCCTGGCGCGGGACCTTCGCGCGCCAATCCCCCATGCGCGCAGCGTTGACGGTTGCGCCCTGCGCGCCCTTGCCCATGTTGCTGACCAGCGTCTGAGCCGTGCCCATGTCGCCGGCGAGCGTCGCTGAGCATGCAATCGCGCGAGGCGGCTTCCACAGGTCCTGGATGGCCTTCACCGCGGCAGCAACTTTCTGATTCATCAGCTCGTCCAGTGGGTTGCTCATCTGATCGCTATCGGGCATAGGGAACAACGCAATGACTTCATCTCGCGCACTGGTTGCCGCGGCCTTCTCCAAGACGTCGGTGAGATAATGGAACTCGATATCAACTTATTTCTCGTACTCGTTCTTGACGTGGCCGCAATGGTTCTTCACAATGGCGATCATGTTCGCGAGCGTGCCCGCTCGGAACGCTAAGATCTGGTTCATTTCTCTCCGCGCGTTCTGGCGGTCCACCAGCAAGGAGTCCTCGACCCGCATGGCAATTGGCAGCCCGGGGATGCGAGCCTTCTTCCCGAACAACAATTCTCCCACGGCAGGCACTCCACCTTGCTCATGTGCACTGCGAGGACGCGAAGCCTGGCCTCCATGGGGTAGGTCCAGTAGTCGGGCAGCGACGTGCACTCGATCAGGGTGTCTTCCAGCAAGAGATCCACCGTGTATCTCTCTTCTTCTTCTTCTTCTTCTTCTCCTTTTTCTTCTTCATCCATGACATCCAGCCCGCCTCCGTCAATAGCCTCGTCTGCGTCCGCACGGCCTGCTTGAAGTCAGACACGACCTCCTCTGTGAAGCGGTGTCTCGGCTGGCGGTGCGCAGTGGACCGAAGAGGAACAATATTACGGTCCCCTGCTCGTTGAAATTCGAACATTGGCCCTCGCCCACCCCATTGAGAGACAGCGCGCCACCAGAGGGGGGGGGGCTCAGCGCTAACAGCGTTGAAGACGCGTGACGGGCGACGCAGCGTCATTCATGAACAACAGATGCATGTGATAAGGACATGTTTCGTCTCGTCGCTCTGTGGTCTTAAGTCTTAAGGGAAATGATGAAGTGATCGTCGTCGTAGTCGACGTCGCCCCCCACTCCTCCTCCTCCTTCTCCTCCTCCTCCTCCTCCTCCTCCTCCTCCTCCTCCTCCTCCTTGTCCTCCTCCTCCTCCTGCTCCTCCTCCTCCTCATCCTCCCTTGGGCGCCGCTTCAGGGGGAGGCGATACATGGGGGGGGAAGGGCAAGGCACTTTCCTGGCCCTAAAGGCATCATTTTGGGCCCTAAAGGACACCTGTGGCGGCCCTAAATGACCCATTTGTTCTGCACCCCTCGCTACCCGCCCCCCCCCCCTGTATAGCCCACCAGTACGCGACGCCCGACGCCTTTCTCCCACCCACCTTCCGCTCAAACTCCTCCGCCTAACCAGCATCGTGCCACATCGTGCCCCTGCTCTGAAACCAGTGCCCTCGCCGCCCCAGAAAAACTGCCGACAGGGCGGTCTGGGCTCTTCCCATTGATAGGTCAAGATGTGCACTGTGTTCGCCGGCGTGGGCCCCAAACAGCAGGCTCCGGCACACTCGATGCGCAATGCATGCGATGCAAGCCGTGTCGTGCACTCCGCATCTGGTACAATACAAATAGGTTGCCAGCTACGTGGTGAGAGCTGTGCCATCCGTGTGGCGAAAGCTGTGTGGTGCAAGCTGCGTGATGCAATGTGTGTGGTGAAGGCTGTGTGCTGTAAGCTACGTGATGCAATCTGCTAGGGCGCACCAGCTATACGTGACAAGCCACGTGATGCTCCATGTGAGTGGTTCAGCACGTGTGATGCAAGCACTAATGTGCGATGGGTTTGTTACTATCGTGCTCATCCTTCCTCCTCCTCCTCCTCCTCCTCCTCCTCCTCCTCCTCCTCCTCCTCCTCCTCCTCCTCCGCCTCCTCCTCCTCCTCCACAACCTCCTTGTCCAAAACATCTAGTCCAAAGAGTTGGAGACTCTATGCCTGAAGTGGAGAAGAAAGGCTGATGATCTACGAAAGAAGGATGGCGTGCACTCACTATATGTTCAGCTCACTGGCGTAAGTACTCAGAAGCGTGACCAGCTTCCATACAAACGAGCGTGAATGCGACTTTTTCCACAGGTTGTGCACCACCATGGTGGCGCGGGTCCAGCGGTGCAGACGAGCGTGAAATCAGCATGGCGCACGACCGTGTAGCTGGGGACCGTAACTATGTGACGGGGCCGAATATGGGGTCGCCAAGCTTTCGTAGGAACGGCCTTTGGGAAACAAGCCACGCAAAACAAAAACGATACCAATACCGCTACTCCCCGGGCCTCTCCCGGGGCGCGTTCTGACCAGGATCCCGCAGCAAATCCAGCTGTGGCGACGTGGCCCGCCCCAGGAGACCCAAGAGGCGAAGAGGAGGGAGGGGCATCGGTATTGGCATCTTCTCCACCCACTGGGCCTCTGCAGAACCCGTGGCACCCTGATCGCAAGCTGCGTGCGGATCCCCGCGCCGATCCAGGCCAGCCTGTCCGATCCAGGGCCCTGGCCCGAGGGCGGGACGCTGTAGCCCGAAGCGGCGAGCTTGTCCTCCAGCATCACGAGCTGGTCGACGGACACCACCACCGCGCCGCGCTGGCGGACGAGAGTGGAGAAGCGGGGGCGATGGGAAGACGGGGGCCACAAATTCAAGCGCCATGCCCTCGACGCCATGTGGGTGCGCACATCCGCGACGAGGGATGGCGGCACCCCACGGCGCGTCGCAGAACCACTCGCGTCGCGGTCCGGGCAATCACGACGCACGGAACGCCTAGGGTGCGAGAGCTCTGGCGTCAGTACGCGGGCAGGCAAGAACACATACGGCTGCGCGGCCCCGATGACCATCAAGGCACGCACAGGGCACGCACAAGTCGCCTGCCGAGCAAACTCGATCGCCTAGTTCCCGGGAGCACCCCGGCCTGCACGGGAGCTGCACCACCGCCCAGCCGGGCAGGCCGTGGAAGGCAGCGACGGACCCACTCGGCACGTCTCCCGCCGCGCCCGCTCCGCAATCCTGCTCCTCGTCATCTCCTCATCGTCCTACTCCTCCCCCCTCCTCCCCCCTCCTCCTCCTCCTCCTCCTCCTCCTCCTCCTCCTCCTCCTCCTCCTCCTCCTCCTCCTCCTCCTCCTCCTCCTCCCTCCTCTCCTCCTCCTCCTCCTCCTCCTCCTCCTCCTCCTCCTCCTCCTCCTCCTCCTCCTCCTCCTCCTCCTCCTCCTCTTCCTCCTCCTCCTCCTCCTCCTCTCCTCTCCCATCCTCTCCCCCCCTCCTCCTCCTCCTCCTCCTCCTCCTCCTCCTCCTCCTCCTCCTCCTCCTCCTCCTCCTCCTCCTCGAGACCTCCCAGCACACACCTGCGGGGCCTGGGCGACCGGCCAGACCCCGCCGGCAGTGGAGAACTCGACGACGAGCCCGCCCGACGGCTCGCCGACCGAGCACGGACTCCGAGCCTTATGTTGTTTCCATCCTACTTAAGGACCGCATCCCAGAAATAATTTCGAGCACCCAGAAAAAAGTCAAAAGGGTGTCGAAACAGTGTCGAAACAGTGTCGGGCGAGTGTCTCCCAGGGCCCGACACGTGAGAACCCTTGAGTTTCGGGGTATCTTTTGGGGGGCGCTCGAAATGTTTTCTGGCGGTCAAGGCTAAAGTAGGTGGGAGCATTATAATCCGAGCCCCAGGGGCAGCCGGGCACGAGCGGGGCCTGCGCCGCTGGCCACCTCGGCAGGCCGTGGGATCCAGCGGCGGACCCGCTCGACATGCCCACAGGCGGCCGACCGAGCACACCCGGCGGCCGCGCGTCCGCTCGGAGCTCCCGGGGCGGCCACGACGGCGCCGTCGGCGGCGACTCCGCCGACGACGAGGCCGCGAAGACGACGCCGCCGACGCGCGGCGAGGGCCGCCGAGGGCCTCCGAGGGCCGCCGCTCGTCGGCCCGCGGGCGGAGGCGCCGAGTGCCCCCCCGCGAGGGGCCGCAGAGGAGCGGCGGCGGCGGCGGCGCCCAGGGCGCGGGGGCCGCTCCGAGAGCCTGCCCGCGCCACTGGCCAGCTCCGCAGGCCCACGGAGGAACAGAGAGAGAAGAAGGAGGAGGAGGAGGAGGAGGAGGAGGAGGAGGAGGAGGAGGAGGAGGAGGGCGAGGGCGAGGGCGAGGAGGAGGAGGAGGAGGAGGAGGAGGAGGAGGAGGAGGAGGCGGCACACGGCGGGCCGCCGGGTGGCGCCGCCGAGAGACGCCGCCGAGAGGCGCTGCCGTCCAGGCCCCAGAGGGACGCCACGAGGACCCCTGGGGCCCGCCCAGGCCCCAGTGGGCCTGTGGGGGGGGGGGGGGGGCACGTCGTCTGGGGCGGCTGCGCGGAGCCCGCGGGGCGCGACGATCGTGACCAGCTTCGCGCTGCCCGCGGATGGCATGGCCCTTCCTCGGCGGCGAGCGGGGGGGGGCAAGCGAGAGGGAGAGAAGGCCCTCTCGGAAGTCGGCGGGGCTTCTCGGAAGCCCTCGCGCCTTCTGAGAAGAAGTTGTTCCGCCCCTTCTCGCCTGCCCCCCAGGCTCGCCGCCGACCCCAGGCCCCCGACGTCACGTTTTTTTCGTGACGTCGACCCCCAGGTGTCTCGACCCAATCCCCAGGAACGATTCCCCGTCCCGAGCCATGTTTTCCACGGTCCCGCGGCCCGGCGAGCCGGGGCCCCCCGAGGCCGAGAAGAGCGAAGCACCTCCCGCCGTGGCGGTTGTCCACGACTCGAGGGCATCTGGGCCAGGGCGACGAGCCCTGCACATACCCGCGGCCCCTGGCCAGGCCCCAGCCTGGTCCTGGGAGCGGCGCGCACGCCTCCCGGTCCGAGCCAGGAGGGCGCACGACCACGCCGCTCCTGGGCCCAGGAGGGCCACGAGCTGGCCGGCCGCCACTCCCCCGAATGGCTGTGTCCCGCGCGTGGCCTCCGCACGGCCCCGGGCGCAGATCCAGCCGCGCGTGCTGCCAGTGTCCCGGCCCGTGGCATCCGCATCGGGAGCGGAGCGAAGGGGCACGCGGTCGCCCCCCTGGGGATCCCAGGCGTTTTTGATCGATCTGAGGCCCTTGCAGGATCACGCAGCTGCATGCCCCGCGCTCTGCGAGGAGGGCCTGGCCAGGAGCAGTGGGCCCGTGTAGATCTCGTCGCCCCATGTAGGGGGCCACACGCGAACCCTACCCCTACCCCCCACGATTTCTGAGGGGGACGGTGGGACTCACTTCGCTCGGGAGCTCCCGAACGAAGTCACTTCGCTCGGGAGCTCCCGAACGAAGTGAACCCCACCCCCCCCCTCAGAAATCGTGGGGGGTAGGGGTAGGGTTCGCGTCAAGCTAGCCAGCTCGAGCGAGTCAAGCATGGCATGCCCATTCCCACCCGCCCTCCCACAACATAAGAAACAGTGATGGCACAACTGGGGGCTGCGCCCGCATTTCAGTGCGAGTGGAGGATACCCCAGGACACCGCATTGACGTGGCCCCCGACCACGGGCTCCCTGCCCCCGGTCCCCCGCGCGCGCGTGGCTGGGGCGGCCGCACGTCGCGGGCCCCCCACCCGCCAGTCCGGCGCGCGGCACGCGTCGCCAGCGTGCGGCGAGGCCCACCCCTCGGGGCTCCCGCGCCCCCGCGGGGGGGCAGGGGGAGGAACAGAAAGAGAAGAGAGAGGAAGGGGAGGAGGAGGAGGAGGAGGAGGAGGAGGAGAAGGAGGAGGAGGAGGAGGAGGAGGAGGAGGAGGAGGAGAGGAGGAGGAGGAGGAGGAGGAGGAGGAGGAGGAGGGAGGAGGAGGAGGGGAGGAGGAGGAGGAGGAGGAGGAGGAGGAGGAGTGAGGAGGAGGGAGGAGGAGGGAGGGGAGGAGGGAGGAGGAGGAGGAGGAGGAGGAGGAGGAGGAGGAGGAGGAGGAGGAGGAGGAGGAGGAGGAGGAGGAGGAGGAGGAGGAGGAGGAGGGGATGAGAGGTCAAGGTAGGGACCTACGTAGTCCTACGCATGAAACGGCTGACCCACGCGCAGCTGCACGCACCAGAACTCTGGGGGGTAGCTATACTGCAGACTGCACTTTCTCGCAAATGGTGTTCGGCACGGCCACTCGGCATTGCTCGGACGTCCATTCTCCGTGCATGTTTCGGCTTCGTGCGCTTAGGTTTCGCAAGATGGTCCAAGATACTCCTCGATGGTCCCCGCCGAAAAGAATGCACACGTCCGAGCGACGCCAAGGCCACCCTCTGCCCAAGGACAGCACAAGCCAAGCCGAGGGCCGCGCGAGGCGCTCTCGACCCCGACAGGGTTCCCAGACCCACCATGCCCAGGCAGCATGATATCGATCCCTTCCCCGCAAACGCGCCCCTCCCGTCCCTCCCCACCCACCCGCCCACTCACCCACCCGCCCCACCCGACTCCGTGCGATGTGATCCCCCCCAAGCCCAGGCAGCATGGCATCGATCCCTTCCAAAAACGCGCCCCTCCCCGCCCCCCCCCCCGGCCCGCCCACCCACCCGCCCGCCCGACTCCATGCGATATGCTTCGTTCCAGGGCTGAACCCAAACGGTGTTTTTCGTTTTCGTTTTTGTTTTCGTTGTCCCTCACTTTTGTCTCGAATCCGCCTTTACCTCAAAACGAAGTCGAAACGAAAACGGCCCACGAAATCGCCAAAAACACCGTTCAGGTCCAGCCCTGCTTCGTTCCATGCGAGGCCCGAAATCCTGGCCCCTCCCCCCCGGGAGTGTTCTCTGATATCCGCGGCACCCGCTTGCGATGTTCCCGGGGCTGAAGAGGGCGCGCCGCCGGGTGCCCCCAAGGTGGGAGGGGAGCCAGGAGCCCCCCCCCTCCCCTCCCTTTCCCCGGTCCGTCGTCGGCGGGCCCCCCACCCACCCCTCTCCCCCTTTGCCGATCCGTCGTCGCGGACCCCCTCCCCCCTCCCCTCCCATTCAAAAGGGGGGGGGGGGGGGTCGAAGTGAGATAAGGTGTTACTGCGGCCCGTTGGTTGTTACTGCGGCCCGGTGGGTGTTAGTATGGCCAGGGGTCCTCCGGAGTGTATTAATTATCGAGTACGGTGAAGGGGGGGGGTCCAAAAAGGCTCCGCCCCCCCCCCTTCACCGAAGAGCCTCTCGGAAGAGCCTCTGGTGCTCTCCGAAGAGCCTCTTGGAGCCGCCGAAGACCTTCTTCCAGCCGCCTAAGAGCCGCTTGGGCTCTCCGAAGAGCCTCGTGGGGCCTCCGAAGAGCTTTTGGGGTATCCGAAGCGCCTTGGGCTCTCCGAAGAGCCTCTTGGGCTCCCGAAATACTACGACTACTACTACGACTACCACTACCACTACCACTTACCTACTACTACTACTACTACTACTACTACTACTACTACTACTACTACTACTACTACTACTACTACTACTACTACTACTACTACTACTACTACTACTACTACTACTACTACTACTACTACTACTACTACTACTACTACTACTACTACTACTACTACTACGACTACTACTAACTATACTACTATACTACTACTACTACTACTACTACTACTACTACTACTACTACTACTACTACTACTCCTATACTATTACTATACTACTACTACTACTACTACTATACTACTTACGACGACGAC